TACAGGGGTGGGAAAAGGAAACAACGCCAAAGTGGCCAACACACGGGATACACAGTCTAACTGTACAAACGCACATTCATCAATCATTCTGATTCGACAGAAAGTAAGAACACGATTGCCACTGTTCACGGTTCGCTGTCATATCCTTCAGTGTCTCCAGCCGACTGATTGAGAGATCTTTTGGACCCCAACCACGAAGAAATGAGGCACCTACTTTTCCTAAGTTCGCTGTACATTTCCTCATTCCCAGTTGCCAAATCATCTGTTGACTTCCACGTGGTTTCTCCCACTCCTAAGGAGGAACAGGAAATAGGGCACGGTATGATAGGTGTGTGTTAGCAATACGTAACACGTGCCCTAACCAATGAAGCCTACTGAGCTGGATACGCTGTGATACAGAACTGCCTGAGGTAGTACCCAATACTCGATTTCTGACCTCAGTATTGCTTACTCGGTCATCCCATTCAATCTTAGAGATACTACGCAAACATCGATGGTCTAATACCTCAGGACGACGAATATCCGCACGCAGACCCCAAGTCTCGCAACCATACAACAAAACTGAATGCACTGTGGTACATTACACAAGAACTTCCGACTTCATTGAAATATCAGGTGAACGCCACAAGTGCTTCAGTCCAGCTTACACCCCTCGAGCCTTGATGATACGCGTGCTCATTTCCACTACCGTACTCCCATCCGTCGTCACGCTGCTTCCGAGGTAACTAGAGCGGTCAACAGTTGTTAGTTCCTCCCCATCGAGAATCAAGCTCGGAATCGTTAACATCCAGTCTTGTAACATCACCTTTCACTTTTAAGGTGCAAAGCTTATGCCAAATGAAGCTACAGCTCTCACAGGTCTAGTGCCCGTTGCGCATGTTCCGTGCATTCGAACGAGCAGACAACGTCGTCCGCCTAATCTAGGCCACACAGCCTTTCACTATTCCCTAGTTCAACGCCCACATCCTGAAGATTTCACTAGGCATTCTCCATTATCCTGTCCGTGAGGAAGTTGAAAAAGAATGGAGAAATGGGACATCCCTGTCGAACACCGCTCGTCGTTTCGAACCGAGTGGATAGTTCACCGTAAACCCTTACAAGGCCAGAAGTATGAGAGTACAGTGATCTCAGTAGATTTACGAACTTCTGTGGTATGCCTCTTCGGTGAATAGCACTGAATAACACTGTTCCTTCAACTGAATCGAACGCACCTTTCAAGTCAAGGAAAACCATTATTGTCTGTCGACTGTGTGTTTGACGCGCCTCAAGTAGTTGGTGAACAGTAAAAGTCTGGTCAATGCATCCCAAACCTGGACGGAATCCAGCCTGTTGTTCGTGGCCTTTTCTCTCGCGACCCGGTGTGATAGGAAGCAGCAGAATCGAGGCTAATACTTTGATGACTTTCGGAATTAAGCTGATCCCATAGTGGTTACTACAGTCATTGTGTACTCCCTTCTTGAAGATGCGTACAATGAACAATCAGCCCCATACCATTGGAATATGTTCTTCTTTTCAAACGTCACGGATCAAGGTAGTGAGTGATATTATCAACGCACCACCAACTGCTTTGAAAAGAACTAAAGGAAGTTCATCGGGGTCGGCCGCTTCTCCACGCTTTAGTAATCGAATACATTATTCTACTTCAACTTGCCATAGGAGCTCAAGTGATAGTCCCCAGGGAATCGCAGTCGTTGACACAAGAGTAAATATATTAGAGCGCGACCAGCTAAACTACTCTTTGAAGTATTCAAACGAACGGCTCAGCCCTTGTTGTCTGCCATAAATAGGCTCTCCATCTCCATCGCATATCGTTTCACTGTCTGGAGTTCACTGTCCACCAGTGTCGCGAATAAGCTCGAACAGTCTTTGACTGTTACCTGAAGCAGCTACTACTTCCATTTCATCAGCTACCTTGACCCATCAACTTTCGCGATCATCCTTAAGGCTTCTCGTAATTTGCCTTTGTACATGTCTTCGTTTCCTATCCATCTTCTCACAGTTCGAGAGGTGATGTCTTTGCTCCATTATACTCAACGACTCTTGCGAGATCCAGTGTCTTTGATGGATATCGGATCTAGGACCGCACGCGAAACCTCCTGCCACGTGCATTGCCTGCTGGATATGGACCCAGTGCTCATCTGCATTACTGTTCATCGCAGACTCTAGCTCATGTGATAATTTCTATTCATAACGGGTGCGGAATTCTCGTTATGCGGCTAACGGCGTTTGCAGTTTGCGTCGATGACCATGGAGCTGAAGAGATAATTGCAATTAAACTAATGCATGAGCAGACTCTACATACGTGGATCAGTAAGACCTACACTTCTGAACAGAACTGGACCACCAGTAGCTTACTGCGATATGGTCGATCTGGCTTAGAGTACCTGTGGAGTTAGAGCGCCATATCACCGTGCGACGCGAGCCACGTCGGGAACAGCCGGAACAACCGATTGTCTGCACAAAACTCGAGAAGCTTATCCCCATTATCTGTACGCTCAGCGAGTAAGTCACAGCAACCACCTGGGTCACTATGTTTGCTAACTAGTGCATTAAAATCACCTGCTAGCACTAGGCTGAATATTCACCACTCAGGATGCATAAAACAATTACTTAAATTGACTTACAGTGTCAAAATCTTTGCTCTTGATAACGAGAGTGGTGAGTTCACGATAGAATTCATTCTTATGTGTGTCGGAGCTGTTTTCCGTTGGGGCGTATGCCGAGATCACAAACAAGTTGCACTTAACACAACTATCCTTTCGAACGGCAACTGACCCCTGGAGTATTACAGTACACAAACGACGATTAACCGGCATCCAGTCTGAAAGGACAACCTCGGCCCCGTCAGTCAAGACTATTCCTACACCACGTAGACCCTCAGCTCTAGCTGCTTCGTCTCCCAAATTGTGCAGGAAATACATAGATCAGGTATCAAGAGCAGTTAGTTGAACCACATTGCTGGAATCCTGGGTACGCGGTTCGCTTACGCAGCAGACATCAATCTCCAGAGGATCTATTGTGAGTGCTAGGCACGCCTGCTGACCGGTCTGCATGAGTGTACGCACGTTAAAGGAGCCGAGATTCAGAGGCTGACTAGGTTTGAGAAAGTGAGTTAGAAGACAGAGGATTATTCCCGACAGTATTTTACAATGAACCGTTACGAGTATCTGACGTGTCATCAGTCGGAGTTTTATGGGTGGATAGAGGGGGCAAAGAGATGTGGTTGGGGGACAGAAGACGAAGGTTGAATAAAAGAGGGCACTGTGAACAGTAGCTCACTTATCACTACCCACCCGGCTCGATGCAACGGGCAGTGCGGTCCTGATTATCGTGCTTGGCGACCGATGCCCTATCGAATCCTTTCTAGTCGTGCAGTTCATGAGAGATGTTGGACGGGTACTGCTCAGGTGTCCAGCCACAAAGCAGGAGAACGATTAGGGTTCTGAACCAAAACCTTTAGTTCTAACAAGAACCTATCCGCAAGGCAGCGAAGTGGCTGGGTGGAAGCCCATTTGCTTGGATCAATTATTCTTCCACTGATTTTGCCGATTTAGTTGCCATCTCAGATCGACCCCCAACCTGGAGGGCTAGGAGACTGGACTTTGTCTGGCCTCTACCCATTGACCTGATTGCATCTCCGGCTTCAAGAGCCCATCTTGTATAGCCCCTTGGGTCACAGAGGCACGCAAGCCATCACGCCATGTCAAGGTGCATCTCGTGATGGCGCAGTACAGTCCAGTACAGTACGACTGACAGCCCACAATCCCTGGTGACGATCCAAGAGAAATGTGCCGACTACCAAGCTCCGTTTTCGGTGTATCAATTTGATTCATTCACTACGGTGATAGAGAAATGGAACACTACAGAGTCGTATTAAGTGTGTATATATTTCGTACATATTGGGGTACACCGGAGTGGACTGCATGAGCAAAAAAACAGGTCAGAAAAATGGTCAATTACATCACCGTATTTTTCACCTAAAGATGTCTAAATGGCTGAAAGTACGTGGAAAATGGGAAATGTGGTACTTGATGTGTATGTGTGTGTATGAGTGTGTGTGTGTGCCTGTGTGTCTTTATGAATCCGAGGTCATAATCCGAGTTTCGGTAAGCGTTGAAAATTACGGCGAGTCCCTCAAAAAAGGGATTCACATCAAAAAAGGCTAGCCAAAAAACGCACCCTGCTTCGTCAAAACCTATAACAGGCTGAATAAAAATATATAGAAATGGTTCCAGCCCACAGTTCGAGAAAAACGTAGGATAGAAAGATCGCAATTGGTCAGGATCGGTATCAGTTTGTAGCAAAAAAAGATAACGTTTGAGAACCGGGAACACCAATGTAAGGCATATGGATACTTTTTTCACGTGGTTCAGTGGATCTATTGCAATGCCTGAAAGGGAACAACCGTAACAACACGGAATTCGGAGAACAGTGAAGTTAGCTGAAGGACTGGAAAATCCTGGTTGGTATCGATCGATAAACAGGCAGAAACGTCATGTCATGAATAGGGAAGGGATCGCTCCAGGAATTGAGTTGAACGCATGGACTTGAATTGGTTCCAAATAAGAGACAATTAGGCGGGTTTTAAAGAAGTCCTGCACACTTGCATGAAACAATACCGTCAGGGGGGGGGGGTGACGTAATGAAAACTGTTGGATCAGTAAAACAAAAACAATTTGCCTGAGTTCACAGAACAGATGTGAGATAGGCTAGAGAACACAGCACTGGGAACACACACGCACACGCGCGCATCCGATCGTATCGGATTTGTGTGGTCGTTGTTCAGGATTGCGGTTCAACGCGAGCAATGTGGATTGATACAGATCAGCTAAAGAACTGTTGGCAATAAAATAAAGCCATATCAAACAAAGTATTAGAAAAGAAAAAGACATCAGACCAAAAACTCAGTTACCGATAGTAAAGTACGAGGTTAAAGCAAGCATCGGATAAGTGGATTAGAAAAGAAAGGAAAAAAAGCAACAAGAAAATTGCACATTCTTTTAGAATGATATTTTGATGTATGTTGTCTGTTTGTGACGTGTTTCATGCTGTCGTTTGTTCTTATTAATAGTGTTATCGCCGTTGTTGTTGTTGTTCTTGTTCTTGTCATTGTTGTCGAGATAACGTAAAACTAAGGTTCGATAATCCCTAGTCTGATCACTATGATGTGGAAAACGATTTAAAACGAGTGGTACCTCTGCTTCATTCTGCTGAAAATGACAAAGAATCATAAATATTATCTGTGTGCGTGTCTCACCTCGTGTTCACATGACCAAGCACCTCTGAACCGCTGCTTCGTGGATGGAGTGAATACCAACTGCATGGCTCTGATCACCGATCATGAGCGTCCTGAATTCACACCCGCCGGTGAGAACAACAACTGATGTGACAGTGTTTATTTGTGTGTGTGTGTGTGTGTGTATGTGTGTTTATATATGTATGAATGTATTTGTGTAAATAGAAAGAGGAATATCCGCGAGATAGTGTGTATGATACAAGTGAGTTTCCCGTTTCACCAACCGATCGCAATGAATTGTCGAGCTCCTTAATAAATAGGTATGAAAACGGGGAAAACTGTCCTTTGGAAAACGAGTAGTCTGCATCACCGGAATTATGGCATCTAAATGTCACAAATGTGAATACGGAACAAGGATGAGATGGCGAGTTGTTTGACCAATTGACTACTGATCAGTCGGTTGTCATGGCGGCAGCGGGTTTCCATCAGGTGAACAGAATAGGGCCAGTAACATTTGCACTTGTCACATGCAAGCTAACTAGTCAGGTAGCCTTTCGTGCGTGCACGCGTGCACTCGCACACACTAACAGTAGTACGTAAATTTTACGTACTGACGTAACACAAGACAGTCCAGAAGGATAGAGGTAAATGAGTGAAAATCAGTAAATGCTCAGCAGACAAATAAATCGTCACTAACATTCATTTACTTTCACACGGACGTAGGCGAAAATTAATAGGAGATATATAACTAGGCGCTTAGGCATTGATAGAAAAAGATAAAAGAGCCTTGTGGGGGGTGGGTGGAACTGGAGTACCGGTCAGCCGGTAAGAAGATGCACAGCGGTCTAAGTACATTGTAAAGCAACCGGAATATGGTAGATTTCATGCATTTTATTACATCCCCAACACCAACCCACCCAATTTTCACCGTGATTAATGAACTGAATGAGTTCATCATTTTAAAGTCTGCTGAACTAGCATGCGAGCACGGTGCACAAAACTAAGTGCTGTATGTGTGTGTGTGTGTGTGTGTATGCGTGTGTGAGAGAGAGAGAGCACTTAACTTGTACAGATATGGCAACGGAAGCTAGTAGCGAACCCCGTCCGGTCCGGACCCGTTCGGTGTATTGGATCCATCCCGTCGTGGACCGCAGTGACCTGTAGTAATATCCGTTTCCATGGGGTTTGCAAATAAGATTTTGTCACTTTGTGAGCATGGACTGATTGGTGAAAGAGAATCGACTTTATCCGGTTGTATCGAGTTGACCGGTTCCATGAAACAAGGATCCCATTCTTCGCATTTGACTCTTGCCGATTCCACATTTTCTGTGATCGCAACCGGTGTCGTGGATGAACTGGCTGTGGATTGGGGCATTTGGAATGTGTTTGACTGATCTGAATTAGAGCAACGATTCGAGTCTCGACCAGACTGCTCATCGTAAGGAGCGCTAAGCAACGGAGTGCGTATCGACGTTTCCAGATTGGCAAAAGAGAGCTCATACGCGGAACATGATGAAGATGAGGATGAGGATGCAGGCCCCTGAACAGACGCGTTCGAAGTGCATCTGATAATCGGAGTCACATTGCTGTCCACGGTAACGCGGTACCCGGCCTCAGCACCGGACGGCAACGCTGTGATCGTAGCCGTGGGATTTAAACGCTCAGTTCCATCCGTTCGATCGGCGGTTGATCCTGATGACGATGATGAAGAAGATCCAAAACTCAAAACGGTTTTAGACCGCGTCGGAGACACGTGTGAATGCAAAGAAATCATAGTAGGTAGTGGTGAAAACGAATCGTTTGCTGATGAAACTGTCGTGCCTTGTGAGACGTCCACTGTAGGACCGGTTTTTCCATTAGATTTCGACTTCCAGTTGCTGGGCGTAGGCGGTTGTCTTAAGTTAATGGTATTTTTCATTGCATTGGGTGTCCTCAACTCCATTGTATTATTCTCCACTGTATCGGGATTATCATTCAAACAGGACATATAGGGAATTGCCACACCGGGACAATGAAGTTGAAGTAAGGTAACGAACTGACGAGCTTCGCTGCGCAAACTGTCCCGTTCTTGAGTAAGACGATTGATTTCCATCTGTAAATATTCCACTTGAGCTTGCAGTTCCTGCGTCCGCTGAACCTTTCTTTCGCGACATTTCTGTGCAGATCTTCGGTTTCGTTCACGTCTTTTCATCCTGCGATCCGCCTCATCCGGATCGACCTGTTTATTTGTGCATGAAATTAACGGAACAAAATGAGAACAGCGGATAGATCATTTTTCAATTGTTAACCGCTAAACCTAATTTCAGTTTTCACACCATGATTGGTCTGTGAGAGACAAAAACATTCGGTGACCGAGATTTTCTCTTGACATTTTATCTGTAATGCAAACATACTAGCTTTATTGGGACAAACTATGATCTTTTCGGCATAACGATGAACTTCATACACAAATTCCACCGCCGTAGGGTGAGTAGTTCTTTCATACCTTGTGGTTGTTAAGTCGGGAGGGGAATAAGTTGATATTCAGTAATACTTTTTCTATGACATCAGCATTGAAACATAGTCAAGACAGCTGATTGTTTCTTTTGACGTAGCTAACCCGGAGTGGAAATGCAGGGTATTAGTCCTCAGCTTTACGGTTTGTGCTTCTGAAAGCCCAGTCACACAGACACACACACACACACACGGACCCAAATAAATATGTACCTTAGTTCTCCCAGGTGGTCTTTTTCAAAAGTTAGGGACCATTGACTTCGATTCAGTTACAAAACAAACTCAAAGATGAGTTTCGACTTCTTCAGTTTCACAACATTTTAGTATCGACATACAGAAACGGATGTTTTGTTTGTCTGCAACTAACGGCCATATGACTTGTCTCCCTTAGATTGTCATGCATTGCCGGCAATCATTCAAGCAGTCATAGAACTAGTCGTCTTTCTCTGATCTTGTGTACGGAGAATGCACGAACATTTACGCACGAGAGCACAGGCGCGCGAGCGCACAAACGAATGAACCCGACGCGTGCTCGCTTCCAGGCCAATTTCAGCAGCATTCGTGGTGGGCGCAGGCGACACCAGTTCATGACCCAACTGTTGGACCGACTGCTCCGACCCCACCTGGTTCTGGGCCTGAACAGACCGGGGTGGAGTTGAAGTACCAGTAAATTAAGCAGAGCCGAACACACCACCATGGTCAACACAAACATACACGCACATTCATTTCCGCTGCTACCGGCTTAGACTCCATCCTGCAACCAAATCCCGAGGGACCGGTATCAAACTATCATTTCCCTATTTTTTCCCTACCCCTTCCCTGATCACTTCACCCGGCCTCACCGCCACAGCTAGGGAATGCACACGCGTGCTACGCACGAACAAACTGCCACATGCGTGCATAGTGGACGCACATCCATAAGAACACATGCGAAATCCAATCGTTCGCCAACCGGACATTTGGCCTTGCCGTCTCGTGATAGACTACAGCCGCTTTTGGGTGACTCATCCTCGCATCGGAATTGGAAAATGTTGCTTTTGCCTGATTGGTTGATGCAGACGAGTGACCCGATGTTCGTTTATCGACCGCTACTGCGCGATTGCTTCCTTTGGTCACGGTCGGTTGTAGTCAGTTAGGTCGACACACACCTGTCGGTCGACTAAGTACACACGTTCGGAACAAACCTCCAACACCTCAGGCCTGATTCGTCAAACAGACGTACAGCACGTTTTGCCCATGCACCCCGATGAGGATGATCGATAAAGCGCGCTGGCAATGCAACAATGACAAAAAGTTGACGATCATATCCAGGAAATGCTGAGACATTTGAATAGGAATAAATACTTAAAGACGAACGAGTACGCATGCCGCACCCCCCTGCTCCACGCACAAAATCCGGTTGATAAGACAAGCGTCCGTTTAGCTTCAGTTGACTTATACACTAGTTTTGTGATATCTGCATAGCAAACGATTTCAAAACCGCAATAACGGCTTCAGAGTCAGAGTTGAGTATGCTCATCACCATGATGTTACTGATAATAAAAAAACCTAGTTAGCAAAAACGAAATCGTCGGAATTATCCACGCCCAGGAGGGCTGTGGGTGGAAAACGCACAGTAAACGATCAGGGCATTGTCAGCAGTGTAGCTGGAGCACCAAATATGCACATAGATCACCACGACAAACTCAAACATGAAATGGTCTTCATGACATCTGCTGATCGAACAACCCGTAGAAATGCAGTATTTAGAGTATCTCCTGAAAAATTGACTTGGTTAGCTCAATGTGCACACATGGATTGTGTGTGTGTGCCTCATTAGGTAGAATAAGAGTTAATTAAATTATGGAGGACTTTTCATCCACTTGTAACCACGTTGCTACCGCTCACGATTGGTCAAACGGATGAATTGCAGACACCGAAATACAATTGGAGCTGATGTGACAAATCGAAGGTTAAGCCTTAGACATCAGAGCCTATCATCCCCTGGTTCGAATTACCAAAGAGACACCGTCAAATATTTACCGGTGAGGAATAAGAAGAGAAATACCTCCTCAGAACTGAAGACGGGAACTTACCATTTCACCTTTCAAATTTCGTCTCCCAGTTGCCAGGGTGGGCGCTGCCTTACGAAGACGTCCGGGTGTTTGTGGTCGACCGCTACTAGTTGTCGGAGCGGGTGAGACTTCCCCGTCGTCCGAGGAACCGGTAAATTTATTTAAGGCAAACCCAGTTGTTGATGAGTCCGGAGTCATAATGGCCGAATTCAACATGGAATTCTCATTGGCAGAGACCATCAGAGTTTGTGTGGATGTTGGCTGACACGGAACTGACGAACGTGGAGAAATCATGGGTGTTGTATTTGCACGACACACCGCGGTTGTCATTCCGGATCCAGTGGTACCAACCAGAACATTGGATACGGTTGTCGCTTTGCCCACTGTCTGTTGGTTTCTCGTGTCCACATTCGGATAACCGTTCATATCAAATTGTGTTACACAGTGTTGTCCAGAATCCATTCGAGATCCCGTCACATGAAAATGATCTAGTTCACTGAGGCCACGTGGATTGGTACCAAATGCTTGTGGCGACGGACGTCGTGTGTTGTTGGCCCCGTAAAGTTGTTCTGATGAACGAAAATCATCCGACAGACGTGAGATAGAATTTCCGTTGCCAAGTAGTTGACTCCGAAAATCCAGACGACATTTCAGTCCACCTTCTACTACGTCCATGGACGCGTTGTTTGTGGTCCAGGTTGTGAAAGAACTGTTCGGCCCGGGTTCGTAGGTTGAAGTACCTGCGCTGGCAAAATTCAACGACTCCACAATCGGATTGAAATCCACGTGCATATAGTCCGAATCAGGACGGGTTTCATGATAGGTTAGAGTTGAACTTGCTGATTTCAAGTCATGGGCATGCTCACGAGTCATGTAGCTCTGGGTCGCATTGAATGGGATTGGCAAAGTCGAATAGTCCATTGTACGATATGAGGAATTGTGAGGAATGTTCTCGGATACCTGATCACTGACACCAATGTTGGTGGACTGAAACACGAGTTGAGTTGCTTCGTTATTTACTACGGAACCGTTGGGACTACTGGAAGACAAAGATGAGGATTTCAGGTGAGCTGATGGTGCCAGTGAATAGGCGTCTACAATAGTGGGATTTTGTTTCCGGTAGTGCGAATACACCGGGGTGCTGTTATGCGAATGTTCGTTATGAACCGAGAGAGGCAGTTGGCTGGAATTCAATGTGAATCCTTTCGAGCCCAAATTCGCCGACTGAACTCGTAGGAAACTCGATCGATGCTGACTGGGTTGCAGTTGCGCTACTGCGGGGCCTTTTACTGGGCACGCGGATACGGACATGAAGCTGAGGATCTATGAAGGGAACGGTGGCGATTGTCCTTCGGTTCAGCTATTCTGTTTCATCAAATCTATGGGACCGTATAGGTTCAGGAAGGTGGCGGGAAGCGAAGAGAGGTGTGAGATTAATTTTAAAAATTTCGGTTCAAAACTATTAACTTCCATTGCGACACCTCTAATAGTAAAGGCTTTAATAGAAAAATTACTCCAGTGACGGAAACATGTCTCAGTTAGTATACTGGAACAGAGTTTGGTTCGTTTCGTGCCGAGAAAAACGATGCGCCACGGGATACGTGACAGGCGGTGATAAAAAGACCAACATACTGAACTTCAGACCGCTCTGTCCCCCCGGGGGCTCGAACCAGCGCGCCCCTACCAGCCCCTTTCCGCAGTTGGTAGCCTTGCATTGTTTGCGGGCCCCTTCCTGAAATACTATACTGTGATTATATAGGAAAAAAGAATTAAAGAAAAGAAAAGAAGGACACTTGCGTGACTGATATTCGGTAACACAACTCCGAAAATGCGGTGTTACTGCCTATCAAACACGTGTCGAACACCTGTCACGCATATGGAATCACAGGAGGAATTAATTTTCTGTCAAAAACGGGGAGATTTAGCATGATCTTTGCGCGGCGACAAATCTGAGAATATGCTTGTAGTGATGATGGTATTGATGATGCATTCTCTGTGTTACCGCGCACCTGCTCGTGCGATTCACAGCTCCACGCCTCAGAAGTCATAACCAGCAGTTCTCACCGATTGTGCACAGGGCTATTATGACAACGAGATATGTCACCCTTTATTCCATTGTAGTGATGTAAAAACAAAAAAATTAGTAAGCTTGTTACCTCTTGAAGTGAACAACCGTAAGATACTCCTAAAGAAAAAGTATGCAAACTGGTACTTTCGCAAATTATCGCTGAACTGAAACACAATAAAGTCGGATTTTCTCAGAACTAATCCATAAAACGATGGACGAAAATTATTCCTAAAAGTGTGTAACAAATGATTACGGCGTTTCTTTTCTAGCTTAAATAGTGTTTAAAAACAAAATCCCATATGATCACTCATGACAAGCATAACTTGGAAGTTGGTCGAAAAGTCCCCACTCAAACACTGGTGAAAAACAATTGAATCATTCTGGGATGGTGCATAATGTTTCGGTTGAATGTGTAGAGGTTCCAACAATTTTGTATCGAATTTTGTGCACATTTACAACCGGATAATTTCGCATTGGTGACAGAATTCATAAATACAAATGCTACAAAACAGCCGGGTTAAATCGGATCTGATTCGGCAGGATCCAGGCCAGTTGACAAACCACGTGACATCCACACACACACACACACACACACACACACACACACACACACACACACACACACACACACACACACACACACACACACACACACACACACACACGCATACATGAGATTAAACTGACAACGGTTACATTTTGAGAGATACTATTTTCGAGAAGTTGAGCACTGTCTTTTCGAATCCGTATTGGAATTTTCTGCCTAAATTCTCTATATTTTTACTCTAAGCTTGCGTATTTTTGCAGTAGTCGAGGGCTGGTGTAACACTCCGACACAGGTCGTCATTCCCATTTTCTGTTGACGCCTGCTCACTGAGCTTCACAGATAGTACAGGTGCAACCCCACGGAAGAGCGTTGCATCCGGCATGCTACAGGTGGAGCCACATGGTCATAAACGCTCAATGCACTATATGCTTTTGTGAATCGGAGTTGAAAACCATCAGAGAACTCTATAGATCTGGTGGGCTATTACGGAATTACGAATAATGATTTCATGGCCGATGGATAAACACAACAGCGCCGTGTTGTCTCCATGATGATTAGGTGATAACCTGTGCAAATTGCGGTACTGGTAGGTTGATAAGAGTTTTGTACTTGCGATCGATAAGTATCAAACACGGTAGATTGGTAAACATTTTTTTAGGCTGCCATCGACATTTTTCAGCATCTGACTAAAGTTCATTGAGGATTCAAACAATTTTCAAACGCGGTTCACGTGGTGCAGTATGGTGAGTTGGATTGGGATGAACTTTGAATAATAGGAACAATTACCACATTAATTCTACTCTTGGCCCAGGAGAGAAAAAACTTTCCCAGTGGGTTTTGATGAAGATTTTCATGCGTATTGATCGTAAGTGGCCGATCGTTGTCACCAATCTCTCAAACAGCTAACTCGGTTTCCTTTTTCCAGTTCCCAATTTATCCGGTATTATAAGATTACAACCTTATGGTTTACCAATATGCCGTGCATGTGAAAACATAAACACTGAAACACGACCAGAGAGACGACCTTTTTGGTGCAGATCCTGGGTTCTGGTACCACTAATGATTCCCAAAATAAAGGTCCGATTCAGTTGGGGATTGGATCTCATCCAACAAACGATCGACTCGCTTGGATCGAACGACGTTGATGATTCCAACAAACGAGGTTGAAACGCCGAGTTTAGGTCACTAAGCTAAGGTGATTGGGACGCGTGTTGCGCATGTCTCCGGATAGAAATCTTCGGTGCGCAATGCTTATTAAGGCAGGTAATGGTTGGAAGGTGAGTAAGGGTGTTTAATCCGTGACGTGGAAGGAAGCTATGAAAAGCCTGACCGGTAGACTTGGCCATGCAGGACGTGTTAGGCGTCTTAAGTAGGATCCAAGAGATCCCCCTACTGAATGACTAGACACGTTGAAGGATATGTCCCGGTGTCACAATCAGTGGCTCTCTCGTATACACAGGTTTTTTTGGGGGGACTTCATATTATTTGTGATTCTCCTCTTTCTCTTTTCTCATTCTTCATTTTTCGTCATTATTTCCCATTAAGGTTCCCGGCTGAGAGATAGCAACCATAGCTCCCACGCCCAATGCATGGCCAATGGTTGCTTTAACTCAACTGAATTAAACTGCGTGTTGGTAACTGGCAATCGAACAGTGAAACGACGAAGAAATTTCCACTCATTAATACTATCATATCAACTCCCGCTATAGTTGATGATCTGGTCGAAGATGTACGGAAAGAGGTAAATGAAATGTTAGTATTGATTGAAGTTCTCGAATAGGGGGTGGGGTGTGGGGGCGGGAGAAACCGGTTCTTTCACTCAACTTATGAAAAATGAAAAAGGAACATGTACCTCGGTCTGATGGGATTGAGATTTTCAGGACTTCAGTTTGTGCGTTTCAGTGCTTCCCTCTCTTTGTGTGTGTGTGTGTGTATGAGTCTTCTAAAATATTTTCGCTCATATTTTGCCACTCTCGACAGAACAAATCTAAGTAAGATCAAAAAATAACTCACTCGACCGTTGTCCGAAACAAAGCACCTCAGATGGAAAAAGGTGACAGGACAAAAAAAAACTAAGTTGTACTACAGGAAGCGACCGACTGCGGGTGGATGAAATGTTCCTAGATTTGGCTCTTTATGTCCGTAATGCTCCATATCGGAAAAAAACTATGCTGTGGATAGCTACCCCTGCAAAAATAATTTGATCCGTCGATGATTCACATCGGTTTCACTAGGAAAGTTCCCGTCTGGAAAAAAGGGAGAAAGTTTAGATGATTACCGTCCATGATCACGAGGAGAAAGTGATCTGTGATCCGCACAAACAGTGATCCACTGGAAAGAGAACCACCAACAGAGTTTCACTCCGATTCAAATAAACAATTAGGTAATTTTCAAAACAAATCACGTACCGTGACCGTGTTTCTCATCTCAATTAATTGCTTACAGGTAAACTCACAAGATTAGGAAACAACGTAAAACACTGGGAGTTGTGGGGTTAATAATAATAATAATAATAATAATAATAATAATAATAATAATAATAATAATAATAATAATAATAATAATAATAATAGTGGTTGTGACGGTCGTTTCTGATTCGAAGACAACGTTGTAAGCTGCGCAGTCACAAACTACTTAGTCATCAATTGTGGATAATGTCGAGTTGATACGTGCAGAGAATCATCACTTTGCCCATTAAAATCATCGCACGTTTTATTGTTTGTTTTACATCCTGTCACCCATTTACGCACACTTTGTTGCCACACGCAATTGAGTGCACTGTTGAGGACATGCACACATAAAAATATCAACCCAACGCCTAAAATCTACAGAATGATAATTTAATCCATATTGTGTTATATCTTATCCTCCGCTTATGGTAGTTTACCTTGTTACTTCACATCAATATTGAAAGCCTGTCGAAGTGTGTGAGACAATCATTTCTGAAAAAAAGAATGTATAGTGTCATATGTTGTCATTGGGAATACGAATAACTGGCCGCGTTTCAACCTATGCCGGATAAAACATGGTCAAGTTACCAACATCCTCTGGTTCATGGGTGGTCTGGTTTCATTTTATTTTGCAATCCCTTGGGAAATGGTTGTTTTGAAATAGTCAAGGGTCATTGCGACTGCACACTGTTTGTGGTAGGGGACTGTGGTTAGATCGAAGTGTCGATCTGCGCGACTAGGTCACGACACTCACGTGGTTCGGGACTGAGTCTCTGGGGTGGGTGCGGCCCCCCTTCGGTCAGGGAAATTGGACGACATGGACGTAGTTTATTTCTCTGTTCACCTAGTCATACAGATCGACACATCGATCTAACCCCAATCCCCTTTCACATACAGTATCCAACCCGAATGACTCCTAACCATTTCAACACAACCACTTCCCATGTGATTTGTGAAGACTAGAGAATGAGTCAATGAAAACAGTTGTTTGCCTCCGAAGACGTGTTCTGATACCAATATGTGCATATTCTAGAATCATTTTATTTCGCATCTGTATCATTTCCGACAGATCGGCGGCAGCTGTGGTGGTGGTGATGATGGTGACGGTGCTGTGGAAAAGTCTTTATTCACCGGATTTTTTCATGCTTGATAAATCCCCTATCCAATTCCTAGGGTAAAAATTGTCTGCTATCTCCTTCCCCTAGTAGTGCACTAGGACGTCGTTCCTGCGGGACAAATTTCTTTC